ATATAACACTTCTTAGCATAAAAAAAGCACACACTCATGCCATCACTGTTGCTGGGTGTCAAACATCCAAAATTCATAAAAAAAAAAAAATTTATTTACATCTGCTCAAATAATTCAATTTCATTAAAAACCTACTTGAATGAAAGAACATACTTACAAATTGGTTATTGTGAGAACCAAATACAGTTCACGTGTTATAAATGAAGAATAACAGAAAATTTTGCTCTGGGTTTTTAACACCAGCGACCGTAATGGAGGGTTAATTACAAAGTTTGATAAGGGAAAAATCAATGATTTTCTCAGTGGCTACCATGAAACTGCTTCATTTTGTTGGTGAGCTCCTCTAAATTGGATACAGCATGTCCTTCAAATTCGTTGGGGTTAGGTTCTCAAAATGGCCGCGAACCATCAAATCTGCGAATAACATTTGCGGACGGGAGGGGTACATTTTTTACCTGTGTACAAAGAAATGCATAATCCCTTTATGTGTTTGCCCTTAGGACAATTATTTATTTTACCTGTATTGTATATCTGTATGCGTGTGTGTAGACACACACACACACACACAAAATGCATACAAATAAATAATAATGGGAAAATCCTCTCACAAATAATCAGAAACAGACGTACAGTCGACCCTCGTTAATTCAGACCCCTTTAATCCGGATTTCGGATAATTCGGACAAAATCTGAACGAACTTTTTTTTTTTTAAAGATTTGTAGGAATATTACCTACGCGGACCTTAAGCTAAAATGCTGGTCCACCCACTGCTGGGATAAAACACCAGCGTCTTTTTGGTCAAATGTAACATCACCACTAGTGTGGGGGGGATGCAACTTTTAGCTTCAGACATGAAAAATATTTACCATTTACTGCCAGTAAACAATGGAAACGTAAAATTTGTACCAATTAGTAATGAAAAGTTGTGCAGTTCCTTCAGCAAATGAAGCTCACCAACTTACAATAGGCTAAATTACCTTACAACGTGTTTTCAGTAGTCTATGTTGAAGTTCTTAGCACAGGCTAACTTATCATATCATATACGGTATCACAGTTCTCATTGATCTACAAAAAATACCGGTAATAAAAACCTTTTTGATATTTCACACTTAATATAATACCCGGTAATCTACTTCAACCTCCTATTGTTTACAACGACACATGACGCACCACCAGCTGTTGAGTATTAGCTACACGGTACACGTGTTTTTTTAATCGTTTTCAGTTAAAAAACTGTTACATCACATGTATATTTTACCTTAACTGTGCCTGAATGAATATATTCTCGGAAATAAATAGTAGTTTTGCTGAAACGTGATGTATTTTAATGTAAAATAGGATAAAATACATGACGAAAACAAAAGACTTTACCTAACCTTCCGAAGTTACTCGTTTTTTTAATAGTTTTTGGTTAAAATACTGTTATATTACAATGGTATTCTATTCATACTGTGCTTGATATAATGCATTCACGGAAATGTAATATTTTTGCTGAAATTACGTAGGTATTAGTGGAAAGTGGGATAAAATCGTGACAAAAACAATGACTCGCTTTCTTTCGTTCAAAAGATGTTACCGTAATCGCTTTTCGAATGGTTTTCAGTTAAAAAACTGTTGTATTACAGTAATATCCTATCCTAATTGACTTGAATAAATACTACGATACCATATTTCTGAATATTTTCATTAAAATTTATCGTCTGCAGCACCAAACAGCTTCTCCCAGTCCTCTCCTTGAACAGGGCTAGAGGGTACGTGTTTTTCGAATCGTTTTCAGTTAAAAAACTGTTACATCACACGTATATTTTACCTAAACTGCGCCTGAATGAATATATTCTTGGAAATAAATAGTAGTTTTGCTGAAACGTGATGTATTTCAATGTAAAATAGGATAAAATACATGACGAAATCAAAAGACTTTACCTAAGCTTCCGATGTTCTTGAGATGTTATTCGTTTTTTTAGGAGTTTTCGGTTAAAATACTGTTATATTACAATGGTATTCTATTCATACTGTGCTTGATATAATACATTCACGGAAATGTAATATTTTTGCTGAAATTACGAACGTATTACAGTGGAAAGTGGGATAAAATCGTGACGAAAACAATGACTTTGAAATATAATGCAATATTAATCCCTAAATCGGTTAATTCGGACACCCTTCCCCCCCTATTAGTCCGAATTAACGAGGGTTGACTGTATTACAAATGTGAGTCTACCCTCAAGTCAACTCCGAGCTTTTTAATAACAAAACACAGAATGGACTTGAGGGTAGACTGTCACATTTTTAATACATTTGTTTGCATGAAGTAGACTTGACGATACTCAACATTTTTAATACATTTGTTTCTCATTATTTGAGAGAGGATTTTCCCATTATTATTTATTTGTATGCATTTTGTGTGTGTGTGTCTCCCTATCCCGGCCGCGAAAATACCGGCAACTTTAAAACTACCTGCAGACATTGTTGGGTACATTCAGGGTGTCATCTGCGAATAATTGACGACTGCAAAATAAAAATCCACAAATTATCCAGGCGTACTGTATTATGTTGACAGACAGAGCACAACGCAAGTCATGCTGAGGATCCACATGGTTCCTTGCTTTAGTCTTGATCGTAACAAGACCTGGAAATCCTTGTTCACAGAGATATATTGTTGGAAAGGGGAGAAGTTAGGATGGGCTTATCCTTGAGTTGGGTCCAATATTTTGAATACTGGAGGCTTTCAAAGCGTTTCTTCTGCACTTGATTTTCCTGGAGGTCTAAGTTCTTCTTGAAATCCTGGAATATCTTCTCTGACGTTTACACTGAACACATTCCTGATCCAGCTATGTTTCTCGAGGTCTACGTTTTCTGGAAAAATACCTGTCTATTTCTTCCTTGACGCACGAGTATTGGACGTGAACGGACTCGAACATTACTGTTAAGTGTACAGTATATGGTTGTTTTATTATCCACAACTATTCTACTTTAGTCAGTACAGTATTTAAATAATTCTTCATATTGTGCCAGTGACGTGACCCAATTGTAATATTTCATAATTTTGCCTTCTTTTTTATATAGACCGCCCATGACCCTCAGGAACAACCCCGTGACCCTCATTTGGGTCACGACCATGGGTTTAGGAACTACAGTACTGTCATAGGAGAACAAAAGAATAGAAAAAATGAAACAGATCAAGTGTGTTGTTATAGTAAGAGAAACAATTGAGACCCTGCAAGTGTGCGTAAATGAGGCAGAATGTCATATCAGCAACCTGGGACTTGGTCATAATTTTTGTGATGCCATATGGCAGCAGGGTCTACTATTAGACAACACATTATGCTTCCAATCTCTTCCCAGGCGGTCTGTACCTCCCAGTTCGATAGCTGCCTACTACCTATTACCTTCAGTCCGGTGCTGGACCCCAGTCTGGTTTGCAAGGGGAATCTGGATTAAGCGAGTCTGGGTTAGAGGTAGTTTACTGTACTGTACTCCGGGTAACAGGGAGATTACTTATACGTAACTGTAATCACTTTTTACATCTTAACACTGCTTTAACACAGTATTCTTGGCTTGTGCAATGGCACAAGGGGATAAGCTGGGAGATGCATCAGCCTATTTGTCATCCCATGCAGTCACATGACATCATTAGCTAATCGTAGCGCGTGAGCCTACGGCCCAAGTCACCCAAGCTGTCTTCCCACCCACGCATCCTGCACATTAAGATGTGGAGGGTCATGATGTATTCTTTCCTAACTCCTGGAACCTTTGTCACTAGGCCTGGAACAGAAAGGTTTAGGGTGATTTTATTGGAATTTTTCTGGAAATTGCGGCTGATTTTCTACCCCAGAAACTCGTTCACATATCCAGCATTGAGACAAATTTTCCCTTAAAATTCCGGGCCAATTTCAATTACAGCTATTAGAGAGTTCCTGGGACAGATGATTCCAGCTAAAAGAGATAATTGTACCTAACCTGCTCCAAGGAAATTATGAAAATGATGTGCTGTGTTCTACAGGTCTACCACCAATACCTACTCATTCTGAGAAATGAATTCTAATACTATACAGTGGTCCTTCGGTTAACGAACACAATTCGTTCCAGAAGGTAGTTCGTTAACCGAAACCATTGTTTCAATGGGATTTTGGGTAATTGGTTCCAGCTCACTGAAAATTACATACAAAGTAAAAAAAAAAATGCAGTAAAGTATGCTTACTTTGAGGTGTGTATGTAGAAGGCTCCTGGTTGATGATGATATTGATGGGAATTAGAAGTGGGGGAGGAGGAGAAGGGAAGGAAGTGGGGGTGGAAGAGAAATCACCCCATGCTTCATGCCGTCATTTCACCCATAAAATTTTAAGTTCACTAGGAGTAATTCAAGATTATTTTCTTTAAATCAACACTGCATTCGACTACATATTGTCAATATGTTAAATAAATTTCAGAATGACCAATAATTGTACTGTAAGAAACGTAAAAATAGTTTATGTTCAAGAGAGCCACAAGCAAGATGTTACCTCAACTGACCAGAGATACAAACTGCCGCCTTGGTGGGCGAGTCAAGTGGCTGATTGACGCACCAAAAACTAGTTTCCTGTACGGCACTTATGTTAAATAAGTGTTAAAATGACTAAAAATTTTAATATAAAACTTGGAAAATTATTGAATAGTACAACCTTCTTGATATTTACTCAAATAGGAACGAATTTAAGCCCTAGAACCGATTACTGTATTGGCGGACTAATACTCCAGCTGGTGAGCAAGCGTAAACCTGGTGACATGATTTCGTAAGAATTTCGTAAACCAAATTTTTGCTCATTAACCGAATTGAAGATTCTCATGGAAGGTAATTCGTTAACCAAGGCGTTCGTTAACCAAGGGATCACTGTATAGGTCTACTTTTCCATGTATCATTTTCCCTACATGCATCTATGCACTTCAATTTTACACAAATTTTTATGGTCAGATTAGGATAAATGTGAATACTGCACACAAAATGTTTGTTACAATTTACCTGACTGTGACGTTGGAACCATCTGGCCCGTGTAGGAGCCCCTCATCATGGCTGGTGAACTACCACTCATTGCCATTTCTAAAATAAAGCATTTTGTTCATTAAAAGAATTGTACAGAAAATCCCCATTTTACAGCAATTTGCCACATTCATTATAATTCTTAATTCAGTTTACATATTTGAAATTTGCTATTTCTTAATTTAGGATTTAACATGAAAAATTTCCATTCCCAACTAAAATGTAATGGGAATTCTCAGCAATCTGAGGCCAGATTCTTACATCAACAGAATAAAAATCAAAGCTGGGTTAAGAGATGTGTTACTGCCACAGTAGGATAAACTAGAAGAGAGAGAGAGAGAGAAAGGGAGAGGGGAGAGAGACAGAGGGAGTGCTTATAACGAACTTTGCCGAGGTGTTAAATGTGAAACAGATGGCCCTCGCCTCGGGCTGACTGACTCACTCTCTGTGGGGTTCAGAAGATAGTCTCTAGCCGTCCAGTGAACTAACAAGTCAGGGAGCTAAGAAGTCCAAGAAGTCCTACATTAGACCTGAAACACATAAGTTTTATATGGTTTAACCCTTAAGCCCTGGGTGAGGGTGCTGCTGGCAGTAAACCCCCCCCCCCCTCCCCTGCTGGGTTAAATTGAGAAAAAAAAAATCAACTTCCAAAAATAATTAAAGATAAATAAAAAAAAAATGGCGGGAAAATACGCGGACGTTCTGGAACGTCACCCGGGGCGCGCTTGTCGGACGTTCTGGAACGTCACCCGGGGCCTAAGGGTTAACACCCCACTCTACTCAAATATATCAAATGTAGTTGTTAACAGTGAAGAAACGTACAAGTGATTTAATTATCTCATATGTAACGTATGTAATTTGTATTCTGCAGGTTTTGACCGAATAAAGAACAATCGAGTCCCGCGTGCAGGGGTCTCATTATCCCACTGTCATTCAACGGGCGGTTACAGTCAAAACGTGGGTCCTACAGTCTGCCGATACAGTCTACTGAGAATTGGCGAGTGACTCGACTGTCAACGGACCTTCAGCAGGGCCCTTCCCTCCGGCACCCGACACACCCCGCAGCTACACAGCAGGAGAGCGGGGATGCCTTTGTGTGAATTTGTGAATCAACTAAAGTGTGATGCCTATACTGTACTGTCATATAATAATAGTTAACCCCAGCAAAAAGGGGGTTGTGTGTTGAGTGAGTGTATAGCACTCGTATGTGTACGTAGAGAAGCGTGACGCCTCTGTATGTGGGTCCAGTGTCAGAAAGGACTGGACTCGGTGCCAAAATTGTTCGTACAGGCGCGGGGAAGGGTTATTGTTCATTCCGGACAGGCACGCCACCTGCCGCGTGTCAGGAAGGAGTGGACTCTGTCAATAACATTCGTGTGTACACGCGGGAGAGATAGTGTTCAAAGCGTACAGCCAGACTGGATCGCCAATTGCAAATAAAATTTAAGAAAGAGTGAGTTGCCCTTTCTGTTAGATAATAGTAGTTGTGACAGTTAAGTAAGGTTGTAAGCAAGGGTGCAGTAAAGTTTGTGGCATCAGTTTTATGATCTTAGCAGTTGTGTTATGAATCCCTACACTGATTGTGGTGCCTCTATTGTCGTGTTAGTGTGACATCGCTCAGGCTTATTGCACACGTTTATATGACTTCAGTTGTATGACACAGCTTATATGACTTCAGTTGTAGGACATCGCTTGTATAACTTCAGTTCATCGCTTGTATGACATCGCCATAAACGAGCAGGCGTGTCAGTTGAAGAGCATACCCGCTTAACTGAACGTATCTATAACTGTTCACCGAATGAGCCAAATCGAGTTCACCAGTCATGGAAGGGAACAAGGCAGAGGAGATAAGCCTAGCCAGCATAGAAGGCCTGGAGGCCCTGAACGACGGAGATGCTAACCGGTCACTCACACAGCCAGGGCAAAGTGGAGAAACCCTTTCACCCAAGAGAAGGATGAAACCAACAGGCAGGTTGAATAGGGTAATCGAGGGTTATCAACAGAGGCTCGCCCAATTGACAGCAATGATGCAGAATGTGAAAGACCATATATATGGAGCAACTGCAGACTTTATGCGATGTGGAGGACTTTGGTGAGATGCTGTCATTACCAGGAGGAATCCTTTTCTGGAAACAAGTGAAGGGATGATAGCAGCGACGAAGTATTTATGAGACATACGTTGTCAATCGCCGGAACCAAGAGTGACTAGCTGCTACACCTCGATACAAACCCAAGGAGGGTTCCCAGCACCTCAGAGTCGGGAACATCTCATCAGGGGGAGAGGGAACATGTTTCCATCCATCATACCCACTTTCCAGAAGCAGTGATAGCAACAGGAACCCAGGAGAAGAAAAACCAAGTACAAGATACACAGCAAGAACGCCCAGAACAGATGGAAGGGAGGCCATCGGACACAATGCTACCAACCCAGAGACTGGAAGAGTTAATGGCCACGATGAGGCTTCCCCAGAGGCCGATGCCAAGGTTCAGCGGAGGGACTTGTGACGAATATTGGGAGTTCAAGCATGCCTTCCAACGACACATTTGGGAGGCGCCCATACCCAATGCACTAAAATTGGAAACACTTCTCTCGGCCTACACCGGCCGTGCTAAGAAATCCCTATGAGCGTGCCTGCAAATAGAAGACCCCAGGGCAGGATACGAACAAGCTTTAGCCTTGCTAGAAGAGCGTTATGGCAACAAGCACGCCTACATCCAAGAACTAATAGGCAAGGTCCTACGTGGCCCAGCCGCGAGAACAGATGACATTAAAGGACTTCAGGAGCTCACGGATGATCTGGGAAATTGCATAAACAACTTAAAAGTACTGGGAAAACTGCACGAAATTGACACGTACGAATCACTGAATATTTTGGCTAAGAGATTCACGGGAAAGATCAAGGAGCAATATGAGGATAGAGCATATGACTATGAAAGGAGACATGGAATTCTCCAGGGGTCAAGTGGATAAAGGATTTTGTACTGGAGATGCTAGACAGGGCAAGGAGGGCTTCAAGGGGACGAAGACAAGAAGAGCCGAGCGGGAGACGAACCTTCTTCATCAGAAATGAGACCTGAGGGCCTAGTGATTTCGGGAAGAGAGGAGGTTAGAGGAAGGGATGACCGCATTTGCCCGTTGTGCCCTGGATAACACCCTTTGTAGAGATGTCAAGCATTCCTCAACATGTCGACTGGAGCGCGAACTTCACTCGTACATGAAGAACGTCGCTGTTTCGACTGCTTAGATCGTGCTCACCGGATGGCCGAGTGCATCCAGAAGACAAGGTGCAGCATAGATGGCTGCTATAGCTTCCACTCGAATCTCCTGCACTTCTCGAAAAATTCTATGGGCAATAACACGCCAAACCAGGACGAACCATCAAGAAAGGAACTCTTAGCCAGTTTTCAAGGGATGAAAAGAGCTTCCACCATGGATGAACACCAGTCAGAAGTGTCGGCCGACCACAAGCGGCAGAAACTAGGTGATTGTCAACTCAAGGCCATCATGTTGGCACCGAAATCAGTGACCAGTGGAGGTAGGCCATGGAAATCTGAATCCAGCACGAGAGTTACGGAGAAAAGGGCTGGAAACAGGCAGGTTGCACTAGTGACCACGAACTGAGAAAATCCATATAAATGGGCCAGATACTTACGGTCGAGAAAATAACCAGTGCGAGGGGCCCAAAGATTACGACATATGACTTGCAGATTCAGGCAGAGTTGCACTCCCCGTATTACAGGTCAAGGTTGGGGAGATAAGGCGAGAAATGAATATATCAGTGATCACCGGAGCACTCTTGGACTCAGGCAGCAACAGGTCTTACTGCACCGAGAGCCTATCCAACCGACTACGAATAACAGGGAAGTCTGTTTCAATCTTCATAAGCACGATCCTGAAGGAGACGAAGAGCGTGAAGGTCAAAGAGATCGATCTGAAGGTGACTAGCATCGGAGTGAGAAGAAGTCGATGCATCAACATTCCCAGAATCTTAGTTTTTAAAGACCTGCCTTCTTCACTGGAAGCATCGGTTGCGGACACCAGAGCTGTTGCCCAGTGGAGGCACCTCCAGGGAACCACACCACTCCAGGCACTGGAAAGAGTGGATCTCCTGATAGGATTAGATATACCACAAGCCCTAAAACTGTTGGAAGTAAGGACCGGGGGAAACGGAGAGCCGTTCGCTGTGCGCACACTTCTAGGATGGACCATAAATGGACCTACAATAAGTGACCACCTAGCAATCAACCACCTCATCTCAGAAAAGCCACTGAGCCTGGAGTCATGTTTAGAGAAACAGGTCAGATACTTCTGGGAATGTGACTCGGCCTACTGCAATGAAAACCCCATCTCTGGTAAAGACAGAAGAGTCCTGGTGCTGTAGTCAACTTCAGTGAAGAGGGTGGACGGGCACTATCAACTTCCCATACCATTCCGTCATGAAGAGCCGGGACTCCCGAATAACAGGAAACTAGCTGAGCAATGGTTAGCAAGCTTGAAGAAAGTCTCCTGAAAGACCCAGACCTCCGTCAAATATATCGAGAAGAGATGTAAAACCTGATCAAGGGACATGCTGAGAGAGTCCCACACCGTGAGCTTACCATTGTGCCGGGGAAAACCTGGTATCTCCCACATCACCCAGTATTGAACCAAAATAAGCCCGGGAAGTTGAGAATAGTTTTTGACTGTGCAGCAACGTATGAGTCAGTGTCCCTGGACAGCCAAGTGATGCAAGGGCCAGACCTCAACCACAAATTGATGGGAGTCCTCATTAGGCTCCGACAAGAAAGGGTGGCACTTATGGCTGATATCGAGGCTATGTTCCACCAGGTACGATTATTGCCTGAGCATCGAGACGCCCTGCGCTTCCTGTGGTGGACAGACGACCAACTATCGGGAGACCCGGTCACTTACCGGATGAAGGTACATCTCTTAAGGGGAGTGTAGAGCCCATCATTTGCTGGATATGTACTACAGCGAACATTCCAAGACCACGGGCAAAGGTTCCATGAAGAAATTAAGAAAGCAAGTCGCAACTTCTATGTTGATGATCTGTTTCTTT